GACAAGCACAGCTGATTGCCAGTTTTATTAGGACCACCTTCTGCCCTCATAATTGCGTTATTTGTTATCCCACAAACTCTAAGATTTTTTGGGAGTATTTAACAGAGTTTCTGGTCCACACTGACAATAGCATCACACACCCGTTACAAGTTGGTCATCTTCATACCCAATATCTGGATCTCCTGCTCCACTATTTTCCAAACATTCCAAAATGCCGGAAGTAGCCGTCAGAAGACGAGTCCACCGTGGTCATGAAAGGATGGACATGATCAGCAACAACATTCAGGTAGGCTTTGGTGTTTGAACCATAATGTGTTTGTTTGTTTGTTTGTTTGTAAGGGGCTGAAAGTGTGCTAAGATAATTTCCCTCACAACTTCACACCACCAGCAGCATGCAGAACTGATACGAGCAGCAAAGACTTGGTTCAGTTATGATGGTTGAGTGTTTCTCTTCTGGTAACACTGACTTTATGTGTGTGTGTGTGTGTGTGTGTGTGTGTGTGTGTGTGTGTGTTCATGTTTATGTTTATTCATTTAGCAGACGCTTTTATCCAAAGCGACTTACAACTTATAACCTATAGGGCATGTTGTGATCTGTGGGGGAAACCGGAGTAGGCAGAAACCCACGCATGCATGGGGAGAACACGCAACTCCACGCAGAAAGGCCGCACCCGAGTTTCGAACCTGCAACCCTCGTGTTGCGAGGCAACAGTGCTAACCACTGCGCCACCATGCAGTGTGTGTGTGTGTGCGTGCGTGCGTGTGCGCGCGCGTGTGTGTGTATGTGTGTGCGTGCGTGTATGTGTGTGTGCGTGTGTGTGTGCGTGTGTGTGTTCGTGTATGTGTGTGCGCGCGTGGATGTGTGTGTGTGTATGTGTGTGCGTGCGTGTGTGTGTGTGTGTGTGTGTGTGTGTGCGTGCGTGCATGTGTGTGTGTGTGTGTGTGTGTGTGTGTGTGTGTGTGTGTTCACTGGAATGTGTAAAGCCACTGAATCTGAAAATTAAAAATCAAATAACATGAAAGCCTAAAAGACAATTTTCTGCACCCAAACAAGGATAACAAAGACATAAGGAACTGGGAAGCACCGCTCTGGGCCTGCTGGGAAGCAGATGTAAGGATTACACAAATGTGTTTTCCTCCTCTGAATAAAAACTGAAGTCACTTAATTTTCCATAATGAAAAGACAACCAAAACCAAACCTTTTTAAGTTGCAGAACTTTTAGAAGTTGTGCTCCACAACCTTCCGCACACATTGTTTGTCTAAACGATGTGCAGTAGGGAAAGTCAGGGAGTGTTTGATTTTGGCTTATTAATCATTTCTGATGATGATCAGAAAATTCAAAGAAGCTAAAGTCAGATAATAGATGCATAGTAACATATAAATCTCTCTTATCTCCCCGAGAAAAGCTTTCAAGCTGAGAAAAAGCACCAAACGAAGCCAAACACACAAATCAGTTTGACCTGTGCCAACGTTTTTGAAAGAAACATATTAAACAACTTTCATATTCTCTCCTGCCTTTCCCAGTTTCTGGATCCAGCCACCCCCCAGTGACGTCTCGGATTAGTGAGGGGAACTTTAAAACAGCATCACACAGCTGCCTCGGCTTTACAAACAGACCTGCTGAGTAAAAGAAGAAGGAAGACAAACAAAAATCACAGCCTCGCTTCCGATCTTCCTTTTTGGATGAAAAGAACATCATCCGAACTGTTTGTGCCGTAAAAGGTACAAATTGTTAATCTGCTCACGTGCATGAAAACGCACGCATCTCTTCTGGGAATTGATGCACACGAGTCTGGAAAACACTGGCCATCTGTGGGCCTCTGAAGCGCTCTCTGTTTACCAGCTCATCAGAGTCTGACAGCTACAGCCTGTACGACAATGATGCTAATATCACATTGCTGATATGCTTAAGTGACGCATCTTTCACTCACTCGCAGCATGTTAGTGCTCGTGGGTAGAAAGCCGGAGTGAGGTTTAGCTACCTAATAAAAGCAGGCAGTGCTTCAGACACTGTCCAGCTGAGGAAGGACGCAGAAAAGCCCACAGGGAGCGTTTTGTTTCCTACGTATTATCTCAGACAGAACAACGCAGAGATAATGGTCAAATAAACAGCCACAGAGTTTTTGCTTATCCTCAGGCGTGTTGTTGAAGGTGACTGATAGAGACACAATCCAATTCAGATCCACTGGCAGGTCACCTGACATCAACAAAAGAGGCTTTTCACTCGAGACAAAGAGACGGCAGCGAGGGGAAAGGTAGCTGAAGAAAAATCCACCTCCTCCAGACACCGACACCTCCTCCAATGTGTTCCTGTCATTAATTCAGCAGACAAAAACTGTTACCAGATGTCATTACTTATTTATGGTATTTAATAGAGAAAACGCTAGCTTTGAATAATACATTTGGTGGGAGAGGGGTGCATGGGCTTGGGGGCGGGAGTTGGGTGACTGATGAATATTAATGAGCTGCGTCTAGGGGATTTTTTTCTGCCTCCTGGGCTTTGTCTGCTCAGCCGCTGACCATGATGGCCCAGCTGCACTGCTCATTTGTTAGGCTCTTCCTGCTCTTCAACAGGGTTTTTTTTATATATATTTTACCCAAAAAGGCTCCACTTAGGTTCCTCTCCATCTGCTCTTTAGTGGTGTTGGGTCAGAGGAGTGAACAGACGTGTAGCTGTCAGTCAGGAGGACTGACGTGCCCTGGTGAGCAAAAACAGACTTCATTAAGAAAAAAAAACATGTGACCAAGAGCAAGGAAGTGGATCGAAACCTGAAAGGTGATTTATGGTCATGTGCATGGGGCTGGAGCAGACACCTAACTGCGATTTTTTTGACAAGCAGGATCGGACACGTGTGGAGGCTGCTGTGTGGGTTTGGGCTGTTTAATTGGATCTGGGTTTTCTAAGTCTGTAAATGAGTCCCTTTTTGCATGAATCCTCTAGAATCCCGTCTACATCTTAGGGCAAAAATAAACCCTCCATTTTTCTGTATAGAAAAACAAACACAAAGTGCAAGACGTGTATGCAAACAAACAAAAGAATCACAGCTGAAGTGGAAATGTAGGATTTCTGGTTGACTGGTTTTCATCAGTCACACGCTCTTTCCCGATACCGATCTCTGTTTTGGCTCTCTTGTCAGGGTGGCTGTGTTTACTTAAAACATGGCAGAAGGTTTATTGGTTATATATTACATTACATTATCAAAATCTCTGTAAAAATTTGCACTTCACCAATTAGCTTGGATGCGACTCGAGAGTGCGAATGAATTCTCGCCAATTCACATCTTCTGCTACAAGTGTCTGTGCTAAGCTGAGCACAGCCAGCCAAAAGAGGCTCATTATTGAAATATGTGACAACGCAACCTCATGCAAGGAGCAGATAATGCTGTCAAACTGCCCCAGGATATTACCCCGCTTTACTCTTTCTTCCCTTTCTTCACGGCTTTTCTTTTCATTCTCCTGAGATGTAATGACAGCATTTCAGTGCTCCCTTTTCTGGCCTTCACCGCACTTGGAGCGGAGCCACTAAGAAGCAGTGAGCTTGTCTCTGAAGAAGCATTGTTCATCTAGCGAAAACGTGAACACGGGTGCAGCGAACTGGCAAAGAAGCACAGAATAAAACACCTCGTCTAAGAACAATGATGGCAGAGTGATCCAGCAGAAGAGTGATGAGTAAGAACCAGTGAGACAAACACAAGGATTTCCTGAAATATGCATGAAAACACAAGAAGTGGGACGTCTCAAAAGGAAGCACAAAGAGGAGAACATTATATATAAGGAGAGAGCTCAATTAGAATGAATCTGGCATGTTTGAGCGTAACTCAATGAATAATTTACAATCTACAGCAGGAAGAGGCCAAACGTACCTGTGGGATGAGTTTAGGAGGGATGAACATTGATAAATCATCAAGAAAGAGTTCTGGATCAATCCAAGAACAGCCTAACTTTATACAGACTGCCTGGCTGACTGCGTACTCGCATGTGTAAATACACAGGGCTCAGTGAGCAGCAGACAGACAGAGTACATGACAGAAGTATGGAAAGAAAGGAGGGAGGACTAGAAACTGTTTCACAAACTGCTTGGCTGGATCCATGCCTAATTTCCCATGGGGTCCGAGCAACTCTCTCTCTGCCCTTCTGTATCTGAAACGCTACCGTACACTCGCTAAAATTAAACAAAAACCAGACAACAGCTTATTTTCCCATTCTGAACACTATCCTTCATTGTCACAGCAACCAAAACCATGTTGGGGTTACATCGCTGTGGCAGAGGCTCTCCTTCACTTTTAGCAGCGTTTTTTTTTTCTTTTGTGTCCTCATAAAAAGCAAAGTTCACTCTAATAGAAATCATTCAGGGACCCATTTGGTGGAGTGTCAGTGCCATCTGAGATAATGTCCCAATTGCCCTCTCTGTGCTTTGCTGACAGCTCCCACAGCCCTTTCTGTGCTTCCTATCGACATTCACCCAGTCCAAAAGCTGCTTCCTCCCTGCACCTGAACCTCTAAGCACTTTCACCACTGAAGGTGTTCTGATGCTTAAACATATCCAAATATTCATTTTCAATAGTTTTCTAGTTATGGAACATTAATTGGTTTGTAAAGGTATGACTAACAAAAGAGCGATTGTTATCTAATGATCTGTAATCTAAATTATAACATGAAAAAACTGCAAATGAACATTAGTTTGGTACACTTGCTTTGCCTACTAACAGCAAATGTCTTTCCAAAAAGGAAAGAAATACAGAAAATGTGCAACAAAGCAAGACTAGAATCCTTTATTTTGTACTCTCACGGCGATTCTTTACTTTTTTGGCAGCAAGATGCACTTGTAGTCCTGATCCTAGCCATAAATCTTTGTCCTTGACTCGCTGCTTTTCAAATTCATCACGACTGTGCTAAAGTAAATCTGTGAAACACTCCTCTCGTCTGCTCTTTGGGATTAAGTCAACACTTCACTTGCGGTTGTAGAAGATTTAAAAAAGATGAAATGTTTGCCCTTCACCTTTTGGATGTGCAGGTCCAGTCCACAGGAATGTAGAAGGATTCTGCAGCTTCACAGGAGCGCCGCTTTGATGGAGTGCAGGTGGAAGCTCTACCATCCGACGGCGCGTAAAAACCCCGCGAGCGACGGCGCGTAAAAACCCCGCGAGCGCCGGTGGAAAACGAGACTGTTCTCGGTATGAGAGCCGAGGAGCTAGACACCGGGAGGTACCGCCTCGGGGTGCCTAGATGCGCCTGGACCTGGATCCGAGTCCGCGCGTCTTCCGAAAGAGGAGAGCGGAGAAGAGGGGTCAGCCGCGGTGAGAGGATGAGCGTCAGCTGGAGTGGTGCTCACCTCTCCAGCAGCTGAGCGCTACTGAAACAAAAGAGAGCTCCGAGGGTTCTCTATTCAAACAGCAGGGGGGGGGGGGGGGGGGGGGGGGGGGGGCTTTTGTGTGTGTGTGTGTGTGTGTGTGTGTGTGTGTGTGTGTGTGTGTGTGTGTGAAGAATTGACTGGAGCCCGAAGGGTGTGTATGGAGAGGGAAAGAGACAGGGAAGTTGTTGGGTTAAGGATAAATTTGGAACAGGGGCGGTTCTAGACCAAATTTTCCAGGGGGGCCACAGTGGGGCCAGTATTTTTTCATGGGGGCGCAAGAAAAAAAGGGAATAATTAGGGCAATACCAAAATAGTTTTTTGTCTCCGCCATATGACTAATTTTGTGCTTGTGCACAATTTTGCCAAAGGAAATTCCTAGTACTGTGAAACTACTCACTTTTCTGTTCTCTTCTTTTTCATAACTATCTTTACTATATTTTGGGGATCAAATTTTTCAAAAAATTTCCTTTACTTTTTTCATCTATGATTTTATACAGCTGTATTTTACTAAAATAAGATTCAAATAAATTCATAAGTAAAGACAATGAACATGTAAACTATTACAGTGAATGCAGTAATGGTTTAAAATCAAAATGGTGGTCAAAAGGGAGTCTCCAGATTGCAGTTTTACCATAAAGTAAAAACAAATTAGAAGTTGAAAGGGCTCGTGCAACAAACCAAAATAAATGTGGCACAACTATTAACTATTTATTGTTTGAATGCTGTTAAGCATTCAAACTATTGTTTTCCTGTTTTTCTTTCTTCCTCTTCTTCTTCACCTTCTTCTTCTTCTTCTTCTTCTTCTTCTTCTTCTTCTTCTTCTGCTTCCATACACTTTTTGAACCTCTTTTTCAAATTTTTAGCTATTTTAACAATTTTATATCAAAACGTTCAGCTCGGTAAGCTCTTTCCAGCAATTACTTTTGGCATTGATATCTTTAAAAATTTTCGAGTTATTAAGCTTTTTCTAAAAAAAATTCCATTGAAATGAATGGGATTCGTCAGTTTTCAGCAAATTCCTATCACTTTTTTGACCTAAAACTGTATTGGGTTCCTTTTAACTTAGAGACTTCATTCAAAGTTGAACAAACTCACAAGACTTTCCTGTTTAACATATTAAAGAGGCTTTTTGATATCTTTTACGGTTTTTCTAAAATTGCAGTTAGAAGTTGAGATACAACTTGAAATTTTCAGAAAAATTCACAAAAGTTATAATGGGGAAAGATAGGAGCAGTGACCCTCCCTTGCTCCATTTCTGGTGTTGTACCGAGAGAACCGTAGGTCCGATTGAAATGAGACACACACTGGCTTACAGCTAACGAATATACCTTCGTTACCTGTCCAATCAGGATCCAGCATCCACACATATGACACATCAAATCGACCAGTTTGGTTCCAGGAATCTTGTATTCAATTTTAAATGCATTATCTGTTACCATGGCAACACAAGGAACTACATGTCACTTTAACCAAGTCTCGTAGGAATGATTATTAAAAAGCTGAATATTGAGCCAATAACAGACTCCTGTTTTTGATCTTTTTGAACTATCTGTACTTAAAACTAGAAACAAGTTCAATTTGATTGACCGTCAGAAGGTGGGAAAGTGCCCCGCTCCCACCCAGCCCCCTGATTGGTTGAGAGAGGTCAATCATCTTCTGGCTAAATGGAATTACAAACCCACACATGTGAGACATCAAATCGATCGGCTAGGCCTAAGGAATCCATCCATCCATCCAATCAACCAACCATCCATCCATCCAACCAACCAACCAGCCAGCTCTATACACTTAAAACTAGCAGCATAGCTGACATTTTAACACTAGTCAGAAGGCAGGAACCACCCCCTCCTCCTTCGCTGCTCTCTCATTGGCTGAGAGTTTTCAATCGTCTTCTGCCTAAAAGGAAATGTGCACCCACACATATGGTACATCAATTCAACCTGCTTGGTCCCAGGAGTCTTGTATTAACTTGATATTGTGTTCTGCGTTACCATGGCAACATGCTAAGCAGCAACATTTAACAACATTTTAGACACAACTGTATCAACATACTTTAATATAGAAATGTTATTCAAAGTTTAAATGAGTCATGTGTTATTGTACATAGCTTTATTAATGCAAACTCCTGTCATCTGTTACCATGGCAACACAAGGAACTACAAATCACTTTAACCAAGTCTCATAGGAATGAATATAAAAAGCTGAATATTGAACCATGAACAGACTCCTGTTTTTGATCTTTTTGAACTGTTTGTACTTAAAACTAGAAATAAGTTCAATTTGAATGACAGTCAGAAGGTGGGAAAGTGCCCCGCTCCTTCCCAGCTCCCTGATTGGTTGAGAGATGTCATTCATCTTGTGGCTAAATAAATTTTTTATCCATTCTTCACCTTCTTCACCTATATTCTGAGCTTTATTACACTTGTTGGTGATTTTTGCTTCTAAATCTTTAAATACATTCAGCTCATTCCGACAGTTTATCTTAGTTTCAGCTTCACTTCAGCTATTCAGCAGCTTCAGCAATCCGTTTCTGAATTCGGCTTATGCTACTCATTGCACAGTTAAAATTATATATAAAAATTTAACTGTTAAACTAGTCCTACTCAAACAACAAGTGTTTAGACATGTTTGGTGTCCAGATTTTTAAATAATGTTCAGATTTAAGTTTTCTGCTGTTTAGGATTGTTTTCTCCGTTCTTCACTTTTTTGCTTTATTTACATTTTGGCACTTTTTGCTTCTAAATCTTTCAAAACATTCAGCTCATTTTAACAGTTTTGCTTAGTTTCAGCTTCAGCAATTAGTTTCTGAATTCAGCAAATGATGCTAATTTCACAGTTCAGCTAAATGTAAAAATTAAACTGTTAAACTAGTCCTACTGAAAGAACAGGTGTTTAGACATGTTAGCTGTCCAGCTTTTTAAACAGTGTTCACAGATTTGCGTTTTCTGCTATTTAGGATTAGTTTTCTTGATTCTTCACTTACTTTTTGTGCTTGTTTTGCTTCTTGGTGCTTTTTGCTTTCACTTCTGTCACTACATTCAGCTCATTTGACAGTTTAGCTTAGTTTCAGCTTACTTCAGCTATTCAACAACTTCAGCAATCAGTTACCAAATTTGGCACAAAATGCTAGATTCACAGTTCAGCTAAATGTAAACATTAAACTGTTAAACTTGGCAAACTGAAATAACAGGTGTTTAGACATTTAAGCTGTCCAGATTTTTATACAATGTTCAAAGATTTAAGTATTTATTTATTTATTTATTTTGCTATTTAGCATTATTTTTCTCTATTCTTCACTTACTTTTTGTGCTTTATTTGCTTGTTGGTGCTTTTTGCTTCTACATCTTTCAAGACATTCAGCTCATTTTGACAGTTTTGCTTAATTTCAGCTTCAGTTCAGCTGTTCAGCAGCTTCAGCTTACAGTTTCAGCTATCCAGCATTCAAACAGCATTTGTGCAATAAATGCAATTTTTCTCTCTAATGACCCGAGTATTTTATTTATTTATGGTGCATGGTTATGACTATGGATGAAAAGTTTGGTTTAAAGTCATCTAGATTACACACTGTTCCCCTGCTATCATGTGAGTAACTCCGTCATATTGATCTTTTACATGCAGTTAATTGTATATTGTTTTTTTGTTTTTCTTTTGACTTTCTGGGAGTACTAATTTTCCAAATCTTCAAATCGAGACAGGGGACTTCGGATGGTGACAGCTCAAAACCCGGGTATATATGAGGCCCGTAGTGCCTGTTTGAATTAAAAACTCCAGATGGGGTATTCCAATTTAATGGTTGTCATCATTTGAATCTCTCCAAGAAATGAGAAAGTCACAACTGAGGTGACTCGCACTGGCTTGTTTTTCTCTTGTTGTTTTATGGTGGCCACCTTAACATGTTAATTTGGTTTGTTTTTTCTTTTGTTATAAAAAGCCTTCGAGCGCCTCAAGGCCTGCAAACCATAGGGATTGGATTTGGGTTTAATGTGTTCTATACAATTTATTTATTTTTTATTTATTTATTATTATTTTTTTCTCTCTTTAGTAATTGTTCTATTATGGATTGCAATGTATTGACTGGTAGAGTGATAGTGACCATCTACGGCAGGGGTGTCAAACTCAAACTCACAAGGGGCCGAAATGAAACTCTGGGATGGAGTCGAGGGCCAAACTTAATATTTTTTGAAAAAGTGACGGCAACTTTGCACGTTTTCTTTATCAACATGTATGCAATTTTGAACCTTTAAATTTGGAAACAAACTTATTTCTGCATTAACACTGAATGTGGAATAACCAAATTACACACGAGAAAGGCAGTTTTAAATAAAACACATCAGTGGTATTCATTACTTGTGGTATATTCAGCATTTTTTAAATCTATTCAGGATTTATGTTTTCTTGTTTATTCATTTTTCTTATTTTTTATTCTCCTTTTTTCTCCTATAATACGTGTCATCACTGCTGTGACGTCTAGCTTTCCCCACTGAGGAACAATAAAGGGATTTTCTATTCTATTCATCTATCTGCAGCCTTTCCACTTCCTGTTTACTGTAGGTTAAATCTTTTCTCACGGGCCAACAACAAAATAAAAATATTATTTTATCTTAAATGAAAATGCAACATCTCACCTGTTAACTTTCATGTTTTGGAGCATAAAAAGAGCATAAAACCAACATATTTAAAGCTCAGTTTGTTCCACTGGTTCACTGTGATGCTCACCTGTTCCAGCCAGATACCTGCATCATGGGGTTGATCTGAGCTGAGGAGGAGAC